TGCAACCATGAGGTCTCGTGACAGACCAGATGAAGTTCCGCCACGAGTGTTTCAGTCACATTCCTGTGTTCATTTAGCACCCTACTGCCTGGTGGATTAGCTAACTGAGTTAAACGCTTCACTAAGGGTTCCCAAAGAAAAGCCCCTCCTGCGGTGTGTGCAGCCTAGAAGTATAATTAACCCAGCAATCTCCAGCAGTCCCTCGGGAAACATCTTTTATCTTTCTTATTTTTAAATGATTGATGTGCGCAAATGCCGAACGCGCGTTCTGTATATGTGCAAACACTTCATCCGATATCAGACTTCCGGATGAAATGCAACTGCTCAGATAACAAAACTTGTCTACCTGATCTATAGTCTCCCCGGACACTGAAACGTTTGGTGTTGAACCAATCCAGTCCTGCAACAGTATCTTCCACTTTAAAGGTGCAAAACACACACCGAACACCTCCATACATTTGGTCAGGCTGTCCAGGAAGGCTTGCAACCTATCGGGATCTTCACTCAGAAAAACCATTCGCCCGCATATTCAAGGTCGGACACTTTTCCATTCAGAAAAAGTTCAATACCACTATCCTCTCATGGTCGAAGGGAGATCTCGAGGTCCACATCAATCACAAAGTTAGAGGATAGGAGAAAGGCAACTGCCCTGACGTACAACACCTTCCGCGATGAACTCGGGCGAACGATCGCCGTAAGCCCGAGCTCGACTTTGACAGTTCATGTAAAGGGTCTTTATGGTAGAAATGAATTTCCCTGGCACACCCGTCAACAAGAGTCAGCGCCAGAGAATTGTAAAGTTGACTAAGTTGAAAACCACTTTAAAATCAAGAAAGAGGTAGTGGGCCTACGTAACGTGTGCCCATGTTCAAAAATTAATCGAGGAGTAAAGATGTGATCAACACGACCTCGAACGGGTCTACACCCAGCTTGAATCTCGCGCGAACGCTAAATACGCCGTGGAAAACAATACCAGTAAGCAATTTAGATGCAATGCTAGCCGAACTTATTTGTTTGTGGTTTTCACACGAGGATCTGTCGCTTTCTTGTGATCCGGCACTAATTTGACTTCGTATCTCATTGCACCGTTATCTTGTGGTACTATCATCGTACAGCGGTAAACAACAGGGCGAGCCCAGTTGATCACTGCCTTTCCCATTACGTTGCACGTAACAATAGGAAGAATGACCATACGAGATGGACAGCAAGTGGACCTACAAGGGTCGGAGGAGGAAACAACGCCCTAGTAGACAACATACGGAATACACAGTCCAGGTGTAAAAGCATATATCGATCAATCATTCTAATTGGACAGAAAGTGGCAACTTGACGGCCACTGGTCACGGTTCGCTGTCAGTGTCTCCAACCAATTGGTTGACTAATGTTTTGAACTCCAACCACAGAGGTGCGAGGCACCTACTTTTGCCGAGTCCGCCGCCACGTCATCTGTTGACCTCCACGTAGTTACTTTCACTCCCTAAGAGGAAGGGAAATCATGGCACGGTATGGTAGACGTGTGTTTGCCATACGTAACACGTGCCCCAACCAACGAAGTCTATTGAGCTACGTACGCTGTGATAGAACTATCTCGGCCATTCCACCCAATCTTATCCATACTACGCAAACATAAATGGTCGAAAACATCGAGACGGCGTATGTCTTCAGCGTGTAGACCCCAAGTCTTGCAACTATACAACAGAACTGATTGCACCGCGGCACAGTACACACGACCTTTCAACTTCAGTGAAATGTCAGCTCGGCGCCACAAGTGCTTCAGTTCAGCATACGTCGCTCGAGCTTTGGATATAGGCGTGCTCACCTCTACTACTGTTCTTTCATTCGTCGGCACGCTGCTCCTGAGGTAAGTGGAGTGGTCAACAATTGCCAGCATCAAGCCGGGAATCGTTGACGTCTTGCAACAGCAGTTTACACTTTGAAGGTGCGAAGTGCATGCCGAATGTAGCTAAAGCTCCCGCGAGTTTATCTAGTGCACGTTACGCATGTTCGGTGCATTCGAATAAGCAGACAAGATCGTCGGCGTAATCTAGATCACATAGCCTTTCACTATTTGCCAGATCGACGCTCACATCCTGAAGGTTTCGCGAGGAGTCGCCATTATTTCGTCCATGACGAAGTTAAACAGGAATAGAGAAATGGGACATCCTTGTCGAACACCGCTGGTCTTTTCGAACGGACTGGATAGTTCACCGTAAGCCTTTACGCGGCCAGAAGTATGAGAGTACAATGATCTTAGTAGATTCACGAACTTTCGTGACATGCCTTTCCGATCAACTGAATGGAATGAGCCTTTCAAGTCGAGGAAAGCCATTATTGTCGGCCGATTGTTGTGTGATGCGCCTTAAAAATCTGGTCGATACATCCTCGACCTAGGCGGAATCCGGCCTGTTGCTCGCGAGCCGGTGTAAGACGGCGCAACACAGTCGAGGCTAATACCTTGGTGACTATCGGAATTAGGCTAATCCCACGACTATTACTGCAGTCATCACGTATTCCTTTCTTGAAGATGGTTAAAATCAACGACTCATTCCATAATACGGAGCAAGGTGGTGAGTGATTTTATCGATTCAATACCACCCATTCTGAAAAGAACTGTAGAGAGTTCGGCAGGACCGGCCCCTTTCCCTCGCTTTAGTAATCGAATGCATGACTCTACTTCTACTTCTGATGGAGGTTCAAATGATACTCCCCAAGGAGCCGCAGTTGTTGACGTTGGAGTAACTACATCAGCGCGCGGCCAGCTAAACTGTTCCATGAAGTATTCGACTCGACCGTCAAGCCTTTGCTGTCTGCCCGGAATCGGATCTCCATTTCTATTGCTTGTCGTTTCGCTGACTGGGGTTCGCCGTTCACCGGTGTAGCGAATAAGTTGGAACAGTCTTTGTTACCTGAAGCAGTTACTACTGCCATTTCTTCGACTATCCTGACCCACCATTTTTCACGGTCTTTTTTGAAGCCTTTGCTAACATGCTGTTGTAGATTTCTACGTATCTTATTCATCTCCTTACTGTTCGAGTGCTGCAGTTTTTGCTTTATTATACTGACTGACTCTTGAGAATCCCAGTGTATTTGATGGACATCGGATCTAGGACCGCAAGTGAAACCTTCTGCCACACGTTTATGGGCCAAATGCTCGTCTACATTTCTGTTCGTTGTAGATCTTAGCTTATTTGATAGTTTCTGTTCATAACGGATGCGAACTTCTGGATCAGATAAACTTTGCACGGTTAATTGGGTTTGCAGTTTGCGTCGATGACCGTGGGACTGGAGAGATAATCGCAATAAAACTAATGCATGGTCCGACTCTACGTACGTGGACCAGTAGGATCTACAGTTCTGGACAGAACTGCGCCACCGGTAGCTTACTGCGATATAATCAATCTGACTCGAACTACCTGTAGAGTTAGAGCGTCAAGTCGCCGTGCGACGCGAGCTGTGTCGGAAATTCGTACTAGATGAAAGTAACCGATTGTCTGCGCTAAACTGGAGAAGCCTATCCCCGTCATCTGTGCGCTGAGCGGGTAAAGCACAACGTCCACCTAAACAAGCTTCTGACGTAAGTTTACCAACTTGTGCAATAAGACCATCAACTAGCACAATAGTGTTACATCCATTGCTCCTACGAACGAGAGTGGTGAGTTCATCATAGAACTCATCCTTCTGCATATCAGAGCTGTAGTTTAATGGAGCGTATGATGAGATCAAATCAAATCGCGCTTAACACAGCTATCCTTTCGAACGCCAACTGACCCCTGGAGTCTAACTGCACATAAACGGCTATTAACTGGTATCTAGTCTAACAGCTTCAGCCTTGTCATTCGAGATTATTCCTTCAGGATGTTGATTAGCAGCTCTAACTTTTTTTTGTCTCCAGAAATGCGCAGGAAATACCTCGATGAGATACCGGGAGCAGTTAGTTGATTCCTCGGGTCTTGGAACTCTGAGCTGTAGCCCACTTACCACTCATCCGGCTCGATGAAATATGCAGCGCGGTCCTGGTTACCCTGCGCGACGACAGACGCAGTGTGAAATTCTTCTTGAATTTGGTTATTTGGCGGCATTAGCAGACTAATATAGGGCCTCTTTGATCTCTTTCATCACTCATCTGGATCCTAGGAATTTGATTGTAGTTATAACCTGGTGAATAGTTCTGATTAGAAATCAGAATAATGGTAATCGTTCAGCAGTAGCTGCGGGGAACCGTTGGCTTTGACGTTGTTTCGGCTACCGACGAGACGAAGATTGAAACACGCACGGACAAGGGCTTGACCGGCGTCTACAGATGTGGATCAAAATGGTCGGCAGTCTTGAATTCGTACACGCCAGCGGTAACCGGCTGTAATGTGGTCGACCTGGGTCCGACACTGAATGTGCAGAACGTCATGTTAGTCGGTGTCGCTTTTAGTGCGGGAAGTTTGTACTTTAGATGCAGTTTCGTCGTGATTGCAGCCGTGACGATTTCCCTGTTGTGCACATTTCCTGTTTAGTTTGCTCGTCTTTTTCTTCCCTGCAAGGGTAGCCGTCTGGTACTCTGTAATCGGTTCTCATATAATTCTGAACTTTTTCATGATAAAAAGGTATTTCGTTTGACATACTGGGTAAACCATTATGTTTCATCCATTCTCTTGTCATTCATTGAAGAGAATCGGTGATTTTGTTATTCTTTCTCTCCTGGTACTAAAATGCAACTCGTTCATGGTGTACAGCACCGCAGATTCACAATGGCTACCTTCACTGAGCAGCACACAAAATAACGCTGTTCACTTTCATTTTACATTTTCAATAACAAAAGAAACGTCCAATAGTGCACGGCGAAAGGACAGAGTAGCTCGTCACATTTTTTTCTAATCGTTTTCTTTGCTGTATTCTGCTCCTTCTGGTTCTATTTTTGTGATTTCTATTGTTGCGTCGGCGCCATGCTTGATTTTAAGCCGGTGTGAATATATAATTGTTTTCCTTGCTGCGATGTGCTTCATTTTCAGGTGGAGTTCTGTTCACGTCTGCCCATCCCTCAACACCGAACGCGGCTAGTGTGAGTAGCTTCCATTCCCGGTTTCTAGGCTCAAAATGTGGCCTTATGGATGGTGGAAACACATTCTTGCCAGTTGCAAGTGCGGTCGCTGTGCGCTCGGCCACTAGCTCATTCTGCTCCCTTAATTCCGGTTTGGCTGGATTTTTGTCCATCGTTCCTCCTTCTCTGCGCCCACCAGTTCAGGTAAGATAATTCCCAAGTGTTCGTTTCCAGGTTCATATTCCCTTGAGTGCATTGTTGCATATATAGTCAGTGGGTCCTCATAGTGATCGGAGCTCACTAGAATGTAGCTAGCTGCAATTTTGCTACACTCTTTCGGCCAGGTTTTGATCTACGTACGATATCAACATAGTCTTCTTTCCAAAAATCTGTTCTTTTTTGGCACTTGTGAAAAAAACTGCCTCTTGATTCTCGCCAATTTTTGTATCGCTGTACTCTTTTATTACACATTAAGTGATCCACAATAGAGGTGTAAAATCCATAGCCAAAAGAGGTAAGAGGGAAGTTGGGGAACACTCACTTCAGAACCAGCTGGTTGATACTGCCTTTGAAGAAAAGATTGTAGGAAAAAGCTCGGGGTTTTTTCCATGGGTATATAAAAGTAACGAGATTGAGCGACAGGCAGAAAAGATGTAAAAGAGGAGCCAACTCCGGGGCGCATTTTAAGAAGGATGGATGAAACACTGTCCGGTTGGGCGGTTCGTGTACGTTCAGACTCCGTAATGTTTACTCGACCCTCCTTTTTGCAATGCGAGGTAGAAAAGAGTGGTTATAGAAAGACGAAGAAGTCGGAGGAGTGGGAAGATTAGGTCAGATGGAATTATAGGCAAACAGCTTTCTCGTGTGCTACACGTACAATATCAGATGAGTTACAGATGGGAGGGAAATTGGAAGGATAGAAAGTCACGAGAGTCATCCCAGTTGGCTGAACGATAGCGTCTGAAGTTGCAAGAGGAGACTGGACGAAAAAAGGTGTTGGAGAGGGGGACGTGACACTAGTGCGATGAGCCAAGAGAACAAAGAGGGGAAGGAAGTGAAAAGATGATCAACGGTGTGTGCGCGATCGCCAGCCTTGTCGGGAATGCGTGTAGAGAAGTCAACAAGTTGACTTAGATTGTTGACCAAAGTGAAAGCTTTGGCTCCGCGCACCACAGCCGTGGTGTCTGAAAGGTGTGAAAGTCAGTTCTTATTATGGACATTAAAGTCGTCAAGATTAGTAACTTGGCATTTGGATTCTGATGCAAACAAGTTCTCAATGCCATAAAACAATTATTCAGAAATTAAGAAATTGCTACTGTTGAAGTAGCGATAAACGGCACAGAAGTAATGGTTAAAATAAAGAAACCCAAGTTTCAGCCATGTCATATGAAATTCGCAGTTGGAAAGTCCAAGTATGGAATACAAGCGGTAGCAACGGGCTGGTGGATGTATGAACAGACATCAGCTTTAGCTGAAAATGAGGAATGGGAGAAGTAGTTAGGAAACTGATGATGAGTGGTGTCCAACGAAAGGGAGATTTGTGTCTCAGTCAAAAATAAGTCAAGGGGAGATTGGAGAAAATGGCAAGCAGGATCGATGTTGTGGTTCAAACCGCGACTGTGGGAGCTAGGCTTTTTCTCTTTGTTTTGAACTTCATGGGTTTTTTGGTGAGACCGGCAGCCTAACCCTGGGGCTTGGAGAGGCGAACCATATAGAGCGATCTGAGTTCGCGTCATACTAGCCTGCTCAGTGAAATGGATTTTTACTTGATATATCTCAGTCTCACAGGTTGTTGCTATTCATGACTTGGCAAGCTCTTGTGTGTTCACCCAATCCGAATCCAGTTCGTTGGTTCTCAAAAAGGCGTTGAACCCGTCCCATCTGCACTGATTCTTCGGAAAGTGAAAATCTGGGTCAGAGTTTTCATATCGCTTGTCATTGTACTAATACAATTTTTTCACTAAAACTATTGCTTCAACTGCTGTTTTCTACCCGCTTCATGTTTCTCCCACCGTATCCAGTCTAATCAACTGGCTCATCTGACACAGGGTTCCAGCGCGATACCAGTCGTGACTGGTGCAGAAAACCCGTCAGTGGCTTCCTCTACCGCTGCTGCCGCCGCCGCTGCCGCGGCTGCTGCTGCTGCCGCTGCCGCCGCCGGTCAAGTGCAGTTGTGGCAATTCCTGCTAGAATTGTTAACTGACTGGCGACATCGTGAAGCAATACACTGGATCAGTGATGATGGGGAATTCAAGTTGAGCAATCCGGAACAGGTAGCTGCTATGTGGGGTCTGCGCAAGAACAAACCGGCCATGAACTATGAAAAACTTTCCAGAGCTCTGCGGTACTACTATGATGGTGATATGATTTCAAAAGTGCGCACAAAGTCTTTGACCGAATGCGTATTTCTGCCTGTTTCCACTTATTTGACTAACAGTTAGTAATAACAGACTAATATATATATATATATATATATATATATATATATATATATATATATATATATATATATATATATGAAGAACGAGTACTGTTATTTTCTAGTCAAAGTAGTTCTCATCGCTCACTGACCTTGGGTCGTTATATGCTGTTCATGTTCTTGTCGGTAACCGTGAGGGTCTACTTAACAACTGAAATGGACGAAATCGTTTTTGGCTACCAGATCCTTCGTATCACAGAACAATACCATTTCTCTTGGTGTTTAGGTGACTTGGATGTTTTTAGTTTTTCGAAGTTGTAAATTCGCGAGCTGAGGGAAAGCGTCACCAACTGATGTTAAAAAGCAATATACGCTTTTTGGGTTACTAGTCACCCACTTTACTTGGGGGCGTGGCACAAATTACACACCGATTTGTCTTTCCGCCACTTCTACTAAAAAGCATGCTCTGGTATTATCGCCTAAACATTTGTGGTAATTACCCTGGCTCGCATATTGACCATCAGAGCAGCTAAACTTATCTTGGTGCATAGGCTCCAGTCTGTGCGCCATCGTTTGCATTGAGCACTTTTAGTCTATTCGGTTGTATTTTTTGCTACTCCGATTTGATCATTGCAGTCGGACGTTTTGACTAAGTTGTAAGCATTGGGGCTTACATAAGCTAGAATAAGATAAAAATATGTCCTATCTTGTGCTCTGATTATTGGGGTTGTTCATATGCTTCCTGCACCTGTGGTAAATCAGTCCTATTCCAATTCATGTAGCGCAGATCAATTGACGCGTGATGCAGCCGAAGTAGCACAACATCGCTGGACAAGAACTTTAAATTCTGGACTACTGTTGTTTTCAGCATGGTATATGCAAATTCATGAGCGATAACTATTTACAGATGAGATAAGACCAGTGGTGTTCGAGCGTATGATTACCACATCCGAAGTCAGAGATTCGAATCTCACCATTCCCGATCTGTTTCGTAATGGGCAGTGATCCACTGTCGTCCGGCTCGCTACCTTGCCTGACCTATCAGGACCTTATGTGATTATTCATCCTAAGTCTGAGGAATCTGGTGGCTGATTATCCCTAATATTGTAGTTGGTCTCAGAGATTGTGTCGTATATCCCTTCCACTGCACTCATGTGCAACCATGTGATAAAAAGTACTGAAGCTTCAACAGCAGAAATTGGAATAAGATAGATGATGGACTGAATTAACTGAAACTCATGACCTGCCCACAACCGTCGTTTTGTTTACTCACCCACATCATCGTTTATCGTGTTCATGATATATGAATTTTGCTGGTGTAAACTGGTCTTGAGAAAGGTTACCCGCGGTAAGCAAAACATCGACTGACTATCATCTTTTTCGACAAAGCCGTTACCGAATAGTAAACAGTTACGCGTAAAATATGCTCTCTTTCTACTTTTAGGCGGCTAGTTCCTGCGAGGGGATTGGTCGGCCTCATGAATGTCCCGGATGGCACCTGTCTATGAGCGATGTGTGCAGAGGAACTGTTCATGAATATTCTTGGGAATTGGGTACAAAGTGGCGTCCTTACCGCCACTCAGCTTTTTGTTCGAGGTAGCAACTCTAACCTAAATAAGCCTAGTTCTACCTGTCGGGCCACAGGTCGTTTGTGTTGAGGCCCAGTGACTGAACGAGCGGTCCATACGCCTTTGGAACGGTGGTCTGCCAGTCCAGGATGCCCGACGTGTCCCACTCAGGGTAGCTCAGTAAGAGGCACAATACAGTGGCCTTATCTGATGGCGAGCCATATCGGTGCACAACCCGTTTCTCTCTTTGGGTTTCTAAGGCTTTTACTGAGTTACCTGCCAGTCGAAAGACCCATCACACTCTAACCGAGTCGTGTTGATTTTATCTGGCTACTCACCTTCGGTCTGTCCGATATGGATAACCCTGAAAAAGTCATTTGCGCTCCAATCGGCATAGCCCTCGGAGGCATCGTAGCACGCACGCCCGATCACCATGGTAAGGTCGCAACACAGGTGCCATCAAGTCATTTTTGGTGGTAGACAGCATTTCACTGTCGTCCGGATCGTTACCACACCTGACCTATTGAGGCCTTACGTGGTTCTCCACTCCATGTCTCAGGGTCTGGTGGCCGGTTATACCTCATTGTGCAGTGGGCCTTCGTCACTATGGGGTATATACCCCTTCTGCCGCACTCATGCACAAGCATATAATAAAAAAAACATGTTCCACACTGAACGTTTCTGCCTGTTGCAACCAGGTTGCCTTTTTGTTCCTAAAATAAATTATTATGAGGGAGCGATTTGTTGATATACTTCTCCTCCGTAGTGCAATGTTAATTCTGATCGAACACTCTTGTCTATCAGTTCATTTTCACACCGTTTCTACTTGTGCTTTAACCACCCATGCAGGTTCATGGAAAGCGTTTTGTTTACAAGTTTATTTGTGACTTGAAGACATTGCTGGGCTTTTCTGCTGGTGAACTGTATCTGTTGGTTAAAAACTGTGCAGAAAAGCACATCATCCGAAATCGAAAACGACGTGCAGTGTCTACTTACGTCGATAGTAACGTAGACAATAAAGCGGCTCTCTCCAGCCACGACCCAACTGCGTTTCACAAAGTTGATTGCCAGAATCCCCTCGGTTCAAGTGCACTTAATTTGGACGGCTTCAACAGCCCCCCTCTCCGACAGCCTTTTGCTATGTACCCGTCAAATCACACGGATCCAAGCTACCCGTTTTCTGGGTTTGAGGTGGGCTCCGGTCTAGAAAGCCTGTATGGTGGATCGCTCTCTCCGCCTGACTACGTAACAGCACATGGTGTAAGCGACTCTAAATCGCAACGTCTTTCTCCGCAACTTGAGAGTCCCATTTCCGATTCTGCCGCAGTATCTTCATCGTCATCTTGCGGACGCAAACTCTTCGCCACCACCGAGGCACCGTCGGCAGCACTGCGATCATCTGCATCTGTTTCGTCCACAGACAGTGGACTGGATCCACACGTAAATTTACATGTGTGCACCAACAGTACAAATGACACTGGGCTAGATCCCAGTCATTCGTCCTCCTACTTGGATACACCAACTAGCCCATGGCGTCTGCGGCGACAGTGGTGGGTGCGCAACCCTATCTCATCTTCACCTCCATCGTCTCCAACCCCTTACGGTTTGCCGTCTGACCACCAAACAATCGCATCCGAGGACTCGTTGGACCGGTCATCATCCGCAACCCGTATCAATGGCACTGCAAAGCATGCACTGAATCGGAGCGCCAGCAATGACAGTTCCAGCCGTGTTTCAACGTCTCATTTCGCTTTGGACGAAGACTGGGTTGCGGCGGCCACTTTACATGATGAGTTGGCCCAAGACACCGCGAACCGCGTTCGATCATCCGGTCTGATGACTAGTCCAGTCCAGACGGTGGTTCGTGTGTCGTCTATTTCAACCTCACCCTTAACTCAGTCGGTGACTTCAACAGCCACTACTGCCAGTTTCGACGATGGAGAGATTGCGACCGCAGCGGCTTCATTACTTAGCCAAGCCGGAACCGGTGATCCATCTCTACTTTCGGCCCCCGGCTTGACACCTGATTATTCACATAAACTATGCAATGTTAATTACTGTCGAAGTATGGACGATGACGACGATGAGATTGTGAACGGAGTTGTCTCAGTAGCTGCGATGGCCGAGGAAGATGACTTGGACCCCACTCGTCCCATGTTGTCTTATGCCCATAGTTCCTCTATGTCACGATCCTCCAGTGTCAAATCTCTCCCTTCACTACGGCCGAAAGCAAAGCCCTTCCGGAGACAACCCTTAATAAATACTAATCATCAAGGTTTGGATATTGATGCATTCCTTGCTCATTGAAATCGCAAATACTTTCACTTATGCGTTTGTCCAGATGGGTTTGATGCAATTGCCCGGGCACATCCCTACTGCTGTACAGTCCTATTCTTAGTGTTTTCCCCCGCCTACTTGTTACGTATGACAGATTTCTGTTGATGGTTGTATAAAAAACGCGGACTCTATTGTGACCCTGTACATTTATTCCTGCCTCTCCTAAATCACCAAACCACTAAATTCTTTTCGATAGCACCAACCAAGTCCCTTTCTCAGGTTGTTCAAATCCCTTTTTTATTTTCAACTATCTGTACAGATCACACACTGTCTTTATTATCTTCATCTTCATTTATGAAACCAGATGTTTTGTTTTTTGTCGTTCAGTCTGCCCCTCGTTGTCCTCATCCTCCATATGGTCTCCATTCATTGACCTTACATCCTTCGCCATTCATTCGTTCTCATCTATCATGGCCCAATCCTTTTTTTGCACGCCACTCCAGATCTAAAATGCACCTCTCGGCTTCAGTCGACCTTTCTGGCGTATCAAGTTTGTGACGCGCATCTGTGTAAGTTGAGTAGCTTTTTCCAGGGAGTTGTACAGTTATAAATGATGATCCGGTTAAATTTCCCCTCCGTCTCGCAATTGAATGCGCGCGCATGTTTGTATGCAGTAAAACACTAGCACTCATTCCAACCCTGCCACAACTAGGATGAATAAATTTCCGGTGCGCACGGTGCAACCATACCGCCTTCTCCGTTTTTATGCCGTGCTTTTCATCCATTTGTCTATCGGGGCGCGCATACTCACCCATCATCGTCTTCTCGCAACCCACTCTGCTCTTGCCTTGGTCCGCACTCTTCATACCATACCTCTCTGTGTTGCTTATGCAACCAACTTCGATTAGGATGGACAGTTGTAATGAAAATATCCTTCTAGTGAATTTTGTCGGCTACTTCTGAATAACAATCTATTTTGCTTCCCTTTCCGGTGGCGCTCTCATCAAACTCTCCGCATCGAATCCATCTGTCCGTCTGCTTACACAGGCACACTGTTCCATTCACTGTCCTCTTTCTTGATGCAGCAATGCCACTACAATTTTCACCCACACCTTCATTATCGAGTTTCATACTTCTTTTGTAAATTTTTTAGGATCCGTATTGGACCCTTTTTCATGCTTGCTCTAGAAATGCTTATTCTTGCTCAATCATTTAGGAATTGGTTCGGATCACCGTCTTGCCCAGTGTGTTATCTCATGTCGCGCATTAGGCTGACTGTCGGTTTGGGATTCGGTAGTGTAAAGACGTTTGCGCGATACCGAAGCAGTCTTCAGAGTGTGTTGTACTTAGGTCTATATCGAATTTTATAGTGAGTTATAACTGAGTTCCAGCTGGGAATGAGCGCATTTTTTTATGCTCATGCGCAAACACGAAGTAAAAATTTCCGTCCACGAGGCCTCGATGATCGCCAAAATTGTAAGAATGCGGTTGCAGATGACGGGAATTGTATCGTACTCAGTCCAGACTAAATTCCCACTTCATCTTGTTAGGTTGCCGACGCTAGGTTGAACTTTTTCGCACACAATCATTGGTAAAACGTACCGGACATCTGCCTGAATTCTCTTCAAAACAAGATAACTTCATGGTAGAGAACTCACCGTATTACAACAGATGAATTCTGTGTGAGCAGTCTGTGATCGTTCGCTTTCTGAGGATTCTGTTCGCAACTCATTCGTATATTTTTATATTTACAGATCAAGCGAGGTGCCCACGCAACAGCATTAATTACAAAATAGGGAAATTGGCGTACTATACAGTAAATAGACCGTGAGGGAGTGGGGGAAGTCGGCTTTTTGGGCCTTTCGCCGTACAATTTTTTGGTGTTTTTTCGTCATTTTGTTTGTCGGAGTGACTTGTGGTTACGGGGCACGAGAGTTCGACCGACACACCGCATAGCATTCGCGCCACCGACTTCTATTCTGAATCATGTCCCTCCACGTCTCTAACTGACGACAATCTTCATCCCTTGGACCCCAACCGGGAGGGGGGAAGCTCCAACCAAAGCCAATTGTGATGCTAGATTATCCCGTCCTCTACGCCAAGTCAGGGCTTAACCGCCGCGTTTCTTCTTCCAGCTTCGCCCGACACATGCGAATGAAGCATATAGAGATAGGCGATGGGTAGGTCATCGTAAAACATGACCGAGCCGGCGGTGTAGATCGCTTACTTCGTTTAAGAGGGCTGCAACTCACCAGACTAGCAGAATGCGAAGCATTCTTGATAAATGACCAGTACTGGCTTATGGTGTTAGGTGGAGCTACATTTAACCTTTCGGCCAGCGTGTTTTGAAAGATGAATAAACGAGATGGATCGGGGACCTTATCGCAATCTAACTGTTGTTGCAGCGTTCGTTTTGGGCGCCCACCGAAGCACATGGACAACTTAATGAGAACTAATGCGTGATCGAAGTCAGAGAGGGTGCTTCAGTACAAACTACAATCTTGTATGCGATCCGCCATTTATGACAGTAAGTAGGACTTCCTCAGCAGTGGATTCGGCAGACGCATTTGGGAGCATTTCGAGAGGTGTTCAGGATGAGTAGCCAACTCTGAGCCTGGGACACCCACCCCTGACCATACAGAGTAGAAAGGGCAACTGATTCCTGGTAGAAAAATATCATAGGGAGAATCATAAATGTAAGTATCAGAGAACTTAGTGATTGAGTGACGAGCTGACGAAATATTCCGAACAAGATAAAGAGTGACTCCCAGGTGTGGAACCTTATGGATACGATCGGACCCCGTGTCACGAATGAATAGTAGTCATTTCTCAGTGGTCATAAAAAAGCCATCGGTCCAACAGAGTTGTCTTTTCGGTTGTGGTTCTGTATCAATATGTAGGCGGGCGTCGATGAAGCCGGCTAATCACAGCCAGTAGTTGGTGATAGTGCTTAAGGTTAAAACGCGTTAATACTGTTCGAACTTTGTCACCAAGGTCTCAGGTTAAGCTGTATTTCCAACGCCTAATGTCAGTTAACACACAGCAATAGCGATAACAGGTCAAGGAGCACGGGGCTTTGTCCGGTTGCTGTTTCGTAGGAAGGTTGTACACATTTTTAGTCTGTCAATCAGCATCGGCCTCGTACGTTGTATTTCATAATTCAGTGACCATTTATACTGCACTAAGCCACGGCTGTGATTCTGTCAAAGTGCGCATGCATTGTGTTTACACATTGCCCGAGAAACAACGGGAATCAACTCGCGGAAGAAGGTGCGTTGTAACATTGGAAATGTGGGACCTCAGCTGTCGGGGATAACGAAATCAGTCGGAATTGTTCTCATGAAAGAACAGGTTTGCAAAAAATAGTTCGAAACTTCGAACAACATTGGTTACCGTCCTCTAAGTTTAACTTAAGTTTCGTGGACGCAGTCAGTTCCTCTGTGTGGCAAGCTACATTGCGTCCCATAAGTTAAGCACTGAAGTTGTGCGATGCCCGCTCGCAAACATGTCACTCGAGGCGCATAGGGGCGTGGATAACTGAGACAATGCATTGACGACCTGTTCAGCTCCGTTTGGTATCAATATTCTGACTCATGCTCGAAGGCTTGACAGTCACAAGGTCCAAGGTGAGACAAGCCTCGATTGAATGCAGGGTGACTGTGGGGGGGGGCTCTGAACACGTGTGCACAGTCCAGGAAGAGCGTTTAAATTTATTGGTCATTCTTTTTATCGAGAACAAGCGTGATGCGTAATGCGGTTCCTTTAGTGGTACGCTGTAATCCACTGTATCTGGCTCGTCACCACACCTAATATGTTGGGACCTTGTGTGGCTCTTCCCACCACACACATCTTCAGTTATAATGTTAGATGCGCACAGATCGAGTCCTACGAATTCCAAATCTCATGATGTACGGAGATGCCTTAAACGCCAACTGATTCAAACCCCGGGAAACGGCCGTGAGGTGTGGCGAATTGAGAAGTTTGCGGAGATGGAAAAAATTGGGCGATTGGCAACGACCGCACACATTTCCTTCTAATTAGAAGTACCGGTTCGCGAGAACCAGGCGTTAGCGAACCGATCAAAAGGGGGAAGGCTTGCAGATTCAGATTGACGTGTGTTGTCTAGCTCCTTGAGCAGAGCTCGTCGAAAAGCGGTTTAACTGTCTAAGACAGATTCACTAACTAGCATGATAGTGATGGCTCCAGTTGTACATCAGCAGCTTAGGTTCTGTGAGATAACCTACGTTGAGCGACAGAAGGCTGCCGGACCGAATGAGTTGCTTCGGTCTTCTTTCAAAGACACAGGCACAGCGCTGTCACTGGAGTTGACAAAACTCCTCCGTTTGATATGGGTTAGGAAACAAACCCCAGAGAGTTGGTGTAAATCGGTGAAAGTGTCGATTTTCAAAAATAGGCGACAGGTTTTCCTGTGAAAACCACAAACGAATAAGTTTGGCTAACATTGCATCTAAATTGCTTACTGGTATTATTCTCCACGGTGTATTTAGCGTTCGCGCGAGATTCAAGCTGGGTGTAGACCCGTTCGAGATCGTGTTGATCACATCTTTACTCCTCGACTAATTTTAGAACATGGGCACACATTACGTAGGCCCACTTCCCTTTCTTGATTTTAAAGTGGTTTTCAACTTAGTCAACTTTACAATTCTCTGGCGCTGACTCTTGTTGACGGGTGTGCCAGGGAAATTCATTTCTACCATAAAGACCCTTTACATGAACTGTCAAAGTCGAGCTCGGGCTTACGGCGATCGTTCGCCCGAGTTCATCGCGGAAGGTGTTGTACGTCAGGGCAGTTGCCTTTCTCCTATCCTCTAACTTTGTGATTGATGTGGACCTCGAGATCTCCCTTCGACCATGAGAGGATAGTGGTATTGAACTTTTTCTGAATGGAAAAGTGTCCGACCTTGAATATGCGGGCGAATGGTTTTTCTGAGTGAAGATCCCGGTAGGTTGCAAGCCTTCCTGGACAGCCTGACCAAATGTATGGAGGTGTTCGGTGTGTGTTTTGCACC